AAATATTTATTTTAGAAAAAATACATATTTAGGGTTATATATATATATATTTGATTATTAATATATTTAAGAAAAAGATATAAAAAATACTTGATCCTTTTTTATTTTATTAACATTTGATACAAAAAATACCTTTTTCACAATACACTTCATTTTATTTTATTTTTTATAAATAATAAATAAATAGTAAAATTAAATTAGGTAATAATCCCTTTTATTTAAAATTAGGGTTTTTCACCCTAAGTTTCAAAATACTAAAAAATAGATACCATTTTTATTTTCTTTTTCCTTTTACATAAATAATATTTTCTCATACACATAAAAACTTCCCTTTTGCATTTCACATATTTATTTAATTTACATTTAATTATGCATTGCAAAATATCCAATTGTTGTAATAATTTAGATTTAAATTCTTGTCAATATCCCCATTTGAACATTTGTACCCCCCTTCCCATATTTGGTTGTGTAATAGCTTAGTAATTTTAATTTCGCACTTTATTGCTTTCTAAATAATGACATGCTAGAATTAGGGTTTGTATGCGAAAAAACGATAAAAAATAGTTTGACCTAATACAAGATAAACAAGCATGAAAATGGACACACAAATCACACTTGCACCCCCTAGGGTATTCCACTTGTTGCCTTCAAATAAATGGGCCATATTGTATGTTGAACATCTTTGGGCAAAGCAAACAGTTTGAATGATCATAGTCCCTCGATAAAACTTTTCAAAACAAACAAAACAAATGATCAAGTCCCTTAGAGAAATTGCCCAAAGACATTTGACGTCGTTACAATTATGGTCTAAACGATGACCCGCGCCTGTCCCTTTCACATCCTAACACAAAGTTGCCCACCAAATACAATGGTGGTGCAAACTTGTTAAAAGGGTTAAAGTATAGCAATAATCTTTTGAGAAATTTAGGAGTAGATAACCTCTTAGTTACTTGAACCAATCTTGCAAACAAAACACTTGCCTAATTTCAAAACCACACCTCATAACACTTTCAAAACAAACTTTCAAAAAAAAAACAAATGAAAACCTTTTCAAAAGACATACATCTTTGTATACATCCCCACATGGATCATTGCAAAGGTTGCCACCACATTGGCTTCTTTTCAAAACAATTTCAAAACCCACACAAAGCACCATTTAAAACAATTGAAAACAAAAGGCAAGTGATCTAAGCAAGTAACTAAGAGCCCATGGATAACCATGGATAGAAAGGGTGCTAATACCTTCCCCTTCTATAATCTACTCCCCGAACCCAAGAAAACATCTCAAAAGGTTTTTGCTGTGCTTTTTAACCTTTCCTTAGGATAAAATAAAAAGTCGGTGGCGACTCTTGCTAACCGCAACATTTGCGAATACAAACGCAAACCTCAAGTCAGTTCTCCCACCGTATCACAGAAGTAACTCGACATAAAGCAAGGCTCATGGCGAAAGGATTTCTCTAGAAAGAAGGAATAGACTTTAATAATGTTTTTGCACCTGTGGCTAGAATCGAAACAATTAGGTTGGTTGTTGGTCTAGCAGAAATAAACAGCTGGCACATATGTCAGATAGACACGAAGTGTGCATACCTAAATGGACCATTAGACGAAGAAGTTTATGCCAAACAACCAGTTGGGTTTATGAAACATGACAAAGAGAGAAAGGTGTACAAGCTACATAAAGCCATGTATGGATTGAAACAAGCCCCAAGAGATTGGAATAAGAAGATTGATAGTTTCCTAAGGGAGAAGGAATTTGTGAAGTTCACAACTGAATATGGAGTATATGTAAGAAGAAGTAACAGTGAATTTCTTATACTATGTCTCTATATCAATGACTTGTTAATAACAAGTAGCTGTGAGAAGGAAATCGAAGAATTCAAAGGTGATATCAGCAAGTAATTCAAAATGTCTGATCTGGGTAACGTTTCATATTTACTTGGCATCGAATTCTACAAGAGTAGTAGAGGCTTGATAATGCATCAAAGAAGATATGCATGAGAAATTATCAAGAGATTTGAGATGGAAGAATGCAACTCGACTTTGACACCTGCAGAACCAAGACTGAAATTGTCGAAAGATTCAAAAGAAGATGATGTTGACCCAACCCAATACACAAGACTTATTGGGTCATTAAGATACCTTTGTCACACAAGGCCTAACTTAGCATACAGTGTAGGTATGGTAAGTAGATTCATGCAGAAGTCAAAGGTATCACACCTAGCAACCACGAAGAGGATATTGAGGTATCTGAAAGGAAATCTTGACTATGGCATTTTGTTTCCTGCAGTTGATAAAGGAAAGGAGTGTAAGTTAGTGGGATACATTGATTCGAGTTGGTCTAGTGATGCTGAGGATCGAAAATCCACAGTAGGATATGTTTTCATGCTAGGTGGTACACCAGTTGCTTGGAGTTCGAAAAAGAAACCAGTAGTGGCACTATCATGATACGAAGCAGAATACATAGTTGTTTCTCTTTGTGCATGTCAAGCAACATGGATTGTGAACTTGGTCGAAGAAATCACATGGAAAGATCATGGAGCAATTATCATGAAGGTCAACTGCATGTCAGCTATTAACCTGGCAAAGAATCTGATAGATCATGGTCGAAACAAACACATCGAAATGAGGTTCCACTATCTTTGAAAACAGGTATCTGATGGGAAGATGAACTTAGAGCACTGTAGATTTGAGAATCGGATTGCACATATCATGATGAAGGAGGTACAGATCAAAATATTCAGAAGACTAAGAGCATGATGAATATAGATAGTTTAGACATAAGAAATTAGGTGGCGTGTTAAATTGCAATTCATAGTGTCGAAACTATTTGTGTGTCGAAGGGTTAAAGGTTGTCGAAGCAGGTTACTCGATGGAAATCATTGCCCAGTCGAAGAGTTTGTGGATCAAAGCATGCTACACACAGATTTGATTTGGTTTTAGATTTAGATTTCATTTAGATCTAAAATAGATAGATTTGATTTAATTTCGAAATAGGTATTTTGGGCTTTTATAATTTTGAGATTTTGGCTTAGAGAGCAAGCTAACCTAAATCTATGAATAGAGGGAGTAGCCCCTATTTTTTGTAATAAAGTCAATTAAATTGTACTCACATAATTTGCAGTTGCAAGTGAATAAAGTTTTCCACAGATTATGGGCAGAGAGAAACTCTACAGAAAATAATTGTCTTCTCTTTCTTCTTTTCTTTCATATTTTTCATTGTCATTGTTCATCGATAACAATCTTGTTCATCAAAATTGATAGAAATTCATCATAAATTTTGGTGGATTTCCTACATAAAGAAACAAAATGTTTCTGTCAACTCTCAAATTATACTAATACATCCTCCTCCATATATCAACAATGATTTCTCCATTCTCATTTTACAAGAGAGACAACAAATGCACTACAAGAAGTTTGACATATAGTGATAAAAAATTCCACAGATAAAAGGCTAAAAACTGTGAGTATAGCCCTAAAACCCTATTTTAGCGACAATATTTTTTCATCCTTTTTAATTTCCTATACCAACGAAAAATTAACTCCACAATAATTTATAACAACATAAATTTTTTTTGTCTGTTTAACAAAGTGTTAGTGTTATTCCTAAAATTATTTTTCGTTGGAATAAGAATTGTTGAGATCAATTAATTGACTATATTAACCACTATTTCTGTTGTTAAATAAAACATCTATTTTTTGTTATTATTTAATAATATAAAATTTTCAAAAATTTGAAACGACTCTATCATTATTATAATAAACAATAAAAAGATAAAAATAATTTGGCAATAGTGATGTTTTGAAGGTAGGATTGGAAAGCCAATCAACCAATCACTTTCCCACAAATTAAGAGTTTTATTCCCACAATGTTGCCAGGTAAGCACCGATTCATCTTTTGGCATCTTCGATCATTAGGCTCCCTAATTACTGAATAATTTCACTATTCAATAATATAATAACAAAACTTTGATTAGTTAATAATTCATGTCTTTTCAACATAATTACATACCTAATTCATGAGAAATACAAATTTCAAAAGACAAGAAGTTTTCACTGCTTTTCCACGTAGTATACGTAGTAGTAGTAGTAGACCGTCGTCGTCGTCACATACTAGTATTCAATATTGATCTAAGTTGGGAGTAACACACACGTTAATTTACCATTTGAAAGGAACTTAATTATTAACTAACATTATGAAATGAAGATGTGTTTAACTTGTAGTAAAACATACTTTATATAAGATGTGATCATATAATAGAATAATAAAATCTAATTGAATAGATTTTCTTTTTCAAAGAATTATTTGGTACCTTTGTCGAATAACAGAATAAGTGTACAATAAACTCCAAATATCTGAGCTCTTTAATTACGGTTCCTTATTGTGATAAGTTTTTTTCCCATCAACGTCATTCTCCTTAAACTCTAGATAAGGAATTTCATGACATTTTTTAGAATTTGCCGGTTGATAATGCTTTTTCTTATAAAGGTCAATATTATAGAAGAAAAAGAATGTTATAAAGAGAAAGGGGAATAGACCAAAACATTTCCCCACTATGAAGAAACATAAAGTTGGGTAATCTTAGTTTTTTATTATTATTATTATTATTATTATTATTATTATTATTATTATTATTATTATTATTATTGTATTAAAGTGGATATTCATTCAAGTCGTACATTGAATAATATGAAGGAAAAAGAAATGAAAAATTATTATAAATATGGAGAATTGCATAATAAGATGTATTGTAGAATTGCACAATGTGTTTTGACAAGATTTACATTTTTTCCGTCTAAAAATTGTGGTTGAGAGAAATTTCTATTTTTCTGTTTAAAAATAATTGTTTAGAAAATTTGTAATTCTTCTGTCCAAAAATTATTGTTTAGAGAGTTTGTAATTGTGAGAATTATTAGAAATCAATTATTGTTTAGAGAGTTTGTAATTGTGAGAATTATTAGAAATCAAGTTTGCATCAATCATATTAACTAATCAACCGGTGATGAAAATGAGTTTATACTCATTGGAGATGGAAGATGAAGGTAATACATTTGACCATATTAATAAATTTAATGAATTGATATCTATAATTATGAGCGCAGAGAATGATATCAAAGATGATCGGCAAACGGTATTTTGTTTGTTTCACTATCCAATTCTTACAAATAATTAGTGCAATAAATTTTAGTAGGGAAGAGCGCACTATAATTATTGAAGTATGCATTAAAACTTTTGTTGATGAAGAGAAAGACAACATGTTTTAAGATTGTCAAAAACCAAGAAGCTGAAAAGCAACACAAATGTTCAGTCGGACAGTTTACGAATTTCGGGTTTAACCGGTTCGATTTGTGGATTCGTTATTTAATGTTAGAATATTAGATATATATTAATTTAAAAATAGTCTATATATATATATATATATATATATATATATATATATATATATATATATATATATATATATTAATTATAAAATATTTATAATATTTTATTCTAATGCGGAAGACGATCCCATAGCTTCTGTTTCGGAATGTGAAGATTGTAATCAATGGGATAGAACTGAAATTAAAGACGGTACTCACAAGAAGCCGACAAGTCTCAGAGCATCTATTAAGATCACTAGGGTTTCAGGTTCAATCTCTCAGGTAAAAGGAACACCAAATCACAAGTCGAATATGAAAAAGAGGAGAAAAGGAGGAAGACCTATTGGAACAAAAAAAGAAACCGTTCGAAAAATTCATCCAAAAGGCCCCTCATTATCAGGTAATTCTATCTCAGATAGCAATATACAATGGAGAAATTGGTCATTAAACATGGGGAAGTTGTGGAAGTATCTAAGGGTGTGTGGGCTTTGGTAAAGAGGTGGGATTAGTAAAAAAAGCTGGAAAAAGGGGAAGTTCTTCAAGATCTAGTTAATTTAGAGGAAAGAGACAGAAAAATAGCTTTTGCCCAAAACATGGAGGCGGTAAGAGGTCCATAATCTTGGATCTTTTATCGTAGCTTGGAGTCCTATGTAATTGTGTTATGATCTTGTCTTTCAATGTAAGAGGTCTGGGAGGTCTTGCAAACAAGAAAGGAGATCGAGCTCTTATCTCAAATCATAAACCAGGTGTAATCTGTATTTAGGAATCGAAACTGAAATATGTCAATGAATTTGAGTGTAGAAGGATTTGGGGATCTAATGGTTGCGAGTACGTCTTCAAGCATGCAGTCAGTAGATCGGATGGTCTAATCACAATATGGGACTCAAATGTCCTCTCTGTATCTATTCATACTCGGGAAGTCATTTTGTCTGTGTTGAAGGTGTGTGAGGGGTCGACAAAAGTGAGGTGTTAATCCTAAATGTTTATGCTCCATGTGAAGCAAACAAAAAGAAAGAGTCATGGGAGGAGATACTGACATTTGTGAGCCAACAAAGAGTGAAGAGACGGTGCTTGGTGGGCGATTTTAATTTGATTAGAAATGAACAAGAAAGGAAATCAAATTCCCTCTTTTATTATCAAATTGAAATGAGGCAGTTCGACGAGTTCATAGCGAATATGGAGAAAATTGACTTACCTCTAATAGATCAAAGATTTACTTGGTATCAAGCAGGAGGTGGATCCATGATATGTATAGACAGATTCTTATTTTCAGAAGATTGGATAATGTCTTAGCCAGGTTCTTCTAATTGGGGACTAGATAGAGATCTACCAGATTACTGCACAATCCTCTTAAAAGATGCAGTCCGAGATTGGGGGCCCAAGCCCTTTAAAATGTTAAAATGCTGGAGCAAAATCGATGGGTACAAGAATATGGTTAAGGAATTGTGGGGAGGGTTGAACTTTGAAGGGTGTAGTAAGTGTTGTAGCACTTCCAAAAAATGTTTGCTTGATCATACGTGGCCCTTTGCTAAAATTCACGTTCAATGCCCTAAGTGATTCAGATGGAGATCTTCCCCTGGCTATTCGGCACTTTTGAGAGATTCCTTGAATCTTAACTAGATTGCCCTCAGATCAGTTAGACACCATGCCATGCCCCTTGATTATGAAAGGCCTGTTACTGGAAATGTCTTTCCATCTGAGGTGATTCTGTTTATTGAGAGGATTTTTGTTCGTTGAATATCCATCGTGCGAATTTCTCTGTTGTCAAACAATTAGTCATATGCAAACAATGGCATTTAAAAATGCAAAGCTTGTGTTTTTCTTGAAGTTTTGAAAATGCATTTTTAGTAAACAAACAGAATTTTGTAAGAATATGAATTTAACTCAGGATTTATAGTAAGCCTTACAAGAGTCAGGATACCTTTTGTAACAGTAAGCTTTCGAACTAACCCATGCTTCAGCTAGGACTTTTAAGGGTTGTAGCGTGGTCTGGTTCACACAAAGGATAAAGGCTCAAAATTTATTTGTACCCACCCGTTCTCCGTGATATTCTTCAGTCCTATAATCAGTTAATTATGCGTTTAGATACCAATTGAGTCTGGAATCTTTGCCATGGTATTCCGGTGATGGTTCAGATACTGAAAGTTTATTTGAGAAGGAAGTCATTTTTTTGTGACATTTTTTTGTTGTCGAGGATTCATAACAACCTTTTTTTATTTTATTACTCCTACCTTTTTCCTGAACTGTTTCTTTTCTAATTACAGTCAGCGGGATGCCCTAGTTTTTTCTTAAGTCTCCTTCATAGGTTTTGACTTAACGGGCTTTTATTTTGAGAGACAATGACTACCTGCTTTACGGGGAACCATCACCGTCTTTTGATTTGGAAGGACGTTTTGGATACTATAAAGTGAAAGCTTACGACTGAATATGCTTTTGAGTTAACTGAGAAACTACCCTGCCCCGGGTTATAATTAAAGGTTTCAATTTGTGTGAAAAAGAAAACTCCTACTTCTTAGGCTCAAAGGGGTTGACTAGAGATTATCTTCCTTATAACTCCAATGTTTAGGATTTGAAACAACGCATGTACATCATCAGCAAGGTCTGTTCAAAAGCATACTATATGAGATTATGGTATTGTTTTCGTCATCCTCCCTCTAAAGGCTTATAGTTTTTAATCGAGATTTGAATATCACAAAAGGAAGTAAAAGCATAGTATAGTGAAAACGAATGGAATAACTCAAGACAAACTTATGCAATGTATTAATGGGAAGAACCAAAGTCTGACATAAAGATAAGTGTTTGAACAAACAAAGAAATTACAAACGAAAATTCGAATGAACAAAAAGCTTCTCCTCCTAAATTTGTCACTTTAGATGGTGTGCCTTGCAGCCTCGATATTTGAGGGATAACAAAAGAACTCGATCTGACCATCTTGTGTGAACTCGAAAACTCCTTCGCCAATCAGGTCCTGAATCTTATGTTTCAACGTCCAACAGTTGTCAGTGTCATATCCTGAACTGTTGGAGTATACACGCACCTTACATTAGGATTTTGATGGGAAGAAGAAGTATTGGGCTTCTAAGGAGGATCCTTCAATGTAACTAGCTTGGCCTTTAACATGTGTTGCAATGCTTGAGCCAAAGACATGTTGATTTTAGTAAATTGTCTTTTGGGTGTATTCTGCTTACGTTGATTACCCTGTTGTTGGTGAGGTCGTTGTTGGACTTGCGATGTAGTAGCAATCCTGGAAGACCTACTTTTAACCAATCTAACTTCCTGTCTCATTAGAGGTTAATTAATGATTTGATCCCCCATTCTAGTCATTCGTCCCATACGGTTGTATTCGTGCTAATGAAGTTTGCTGACGAGAATTCTCAACTCTACTTGCCCCCGAGCTAAATTTTGGATAAGAGTCTTCTGATCCATCATATGGATTCTCATTGTTACCTTCTCAGCTTGCAATTGTTCCAACTGGTCATTCCTACTGTCTTCAGGATTCTTCTTGGTCATGATCTTAGTTAGGAGTGCTTTCAATTCCTCTTTCCCCTTAGATAGGTTTAGGAACATTTTTTGGAACTGAGCATCTTAAGTTTGGAGGTCTCTGACGGTCTGTTCGAGAGCCATTTTTCTTACTTAAATAAACAGCGAGAAAATGAGAAACATGTCCTGAGAATATTTGTTATGTAATGACATACATGATATGTGGATGCAATGTTTTCAAGGATCTCGCGGGATAAATACAAGAAAATGTTAGAAGTTGAATTTTGACTGCAACTTCAATTTGAAGAGCTTCGTATCATTGAACGTCCTTCTATGAGAATCAAGCTCACAATGTCGAGTGGGTCCTAGCTACTGACTCAAGACATCGTGCTTTGACGATATTGTCTAAAGAAAAATAAATCCCCTTGTCCCTTGCTAGACGCCTGGTTCATCATAACCTGCATTACAGGCCCTTGAGATCCTTGAAATGGTTAAGAAAATGATATGTCATGATGTCATGATGTTATGATGTTATGTTCGAACAATTTAATCATACTCAAGAAAACACACAAGGCCTTAGGTTTAAGCTTGCATGGAGTTATAGGTAAATACCCTCTTGAATTTTTAGTTGGCTCAACCTGTCCTATAAGAAAGTAATCGGGTTCTAAGGAATCTCAATATCATTGATCTTTCTTCATTGGGCATTGTTTCATCACAAGCAATCTTTTTTCGCGGCCAAAATATCTCGAAAGTACGATCTCAATGAGTGTAGTATCGAGTATCAACCAACTTCAGTCTTTCACCAAAGCTAGCTATCTCACTACTTTCTAATGGCCAAGTTGTTCAACTAAGGTTCTACGATTAGTTAGTGCTTCATGACACCACTCAGTAGCCCCATATTCTCCTTGATTCAACTCAAGGGACACCGGTACCCATAAATGTGTCACACTAATGTAGCTATCATTTCAACCATGTTGGTCTATATCGTACAGTTTCCACAATCTATTTCTACTTACCTAAAATGCCCCAGATCCGGGTATAGGATCTTTATAAGAATACTCAAATAACCCTTCAAGAATAAATCAAGCAAGTCAAACAAGGAAAGAATTTAAAATATTAACTATCTCTAAGGTAACCCAACTTTTAGTTGTCCCCAGCAAAGTCGCCATTTTTGTAATACATTGGGAGAACTGACTTTACTGGTTTTGCATTTTATCGTAAATGTTGCGGTTAGCAAGAGCCGCCACTAACTTTTCTTTTATCCAATAAAGGAAAGGGTGAAAAGAACAGGAAATACCTTTGAGAATTTTTCTAAGTAAGGGGGGTAGGTTATGAAAAGGGAAGGTGTTAGCACTCTTTTCATCCATAGTTATCTACGGACTCTTAGTTGCTAGCTCACTTTTGAAAATGCTTTGTGTTTGTGTGTTTTGAAAATATTTTGAAAAGATGCTTTAGTGCGACAAACTTTGTAATAATTCTCGTATTGTTGAGAACACATACAAAGTGTTTTTTGTATTTGAAAATATTTATAAAAGAGAGTGTATGTGTGAGAAATTTTATTTTGTTTTGTGAGCAAGCAACTACGAGTTGTCTACCTATTCGAATGGTATTTTTTTCCCCTCTTTTCCTTTAGATAGTGTTATCCCACTATTGGTTGGTAGGTAGCCCTATCATTGGATGTTTGAGGGATAGGCGAGGGTCATCGTACTGTCACGAAGGCAACTCGTAAGATATTTTAGCAATTACTCTAAGGTACCAAGATCATTTACCAAGGCAGCATCAAAGGGTCATCGAGGAACTATGATCTTTTAACCAAAGGGTCTTTGCTAAAACTTCTCGCGTTCGAGAGACGTGACTGTTTGTTTTACGAAGGCAACAAGTGAGGGTAACCTTAGAGGTGCGTGTGTGCGAAGTGCTTTATGTTTCTGTTATTGATCTTAAAGTTAGGTTTTCTAGCATTTTGCCTTTAAGTCTTGCCATACACGCCTAATTAGTCTAACAGTTAAATATATACATAAGGGCGGAAAATAAAAGTGTGGGAATTACACTACGTTATTACATCGCTTCGGGGATGGGGGAATACACACCATAAAATGGCGATAAAAATGTAAAAGGGTCCTAATTAGCTATTACAAATTTTGGACAGTTACAATATTGAAAAAAATGCGAAAAATTAAATAAACGCGCGGAGATTGAAGAGGGCAAGATATCTAAAAAAATTCTAAGTATGAAAAATATTTTTGGTGTTTTTATTTAGAAAAATAATTGAATGATAATTAAAGCCAAATTATAATTATATTTTAATTAATAAAATAAACTTAAAGTGATTAAATTAATTAATTTTTATTATGAAAATAAAGTTAATTAATTAAAATATATATCTATTTTTTTATTTTTATGTTTTTATTAAAAAAAGTGATTAAAAAAAGAAAAGAAATAGATTAAAAAATAATAATAAAAAAGGACTATGAGCCTGCTTTGTGAAAAGCAGATGGGGGGTGCAAGGGGAGAAGGTTGCTTGCAATGTCAGGTTCGATGATCAATGGCTTCGGTGCCCTAACAATGGTAAAACACCATTTCTGCGTCAAACTTTACATGTAATGTACCTATCATGTTTTAATGATGCATAGGATGAGATCAAACGTGTTAATAATGATTAAAAACACAAGAAAACATAGTTTTTGTTTTTACCAATTTCAAAAACTGGTGTAATGCTGTTTACCGTGAAAATTGGTAAACAACCGCTGATCTTCCAAAAAGGGTAATTTTTGGTTACTTGCAGGATCGACCAGTTTAATCCTAGGACATATGCT